GGACCCGGCTAGTCCGGCCTCCTGGTCACCGTGGCCAGAAAAATCCCACCTGCGGCTCCTGCCTGCGGGGGCCTGTTCCTTCCTGCTGGGACAGCGCCACTGTCCGACCCCCAGCGTGTGGGTGAGCTGGGGCAGGGTCTGAGCCGTCTGGTCTCCAGTCACGGACACCGCGTGATGGGGAATCCCGGTATCGACAGCCCCAAGGCTGGACGCTGGGACAGTTTGTACAGGGGGGGCTGAGAGCCATTGAACCAAACTGTGAACCCTGGGTATGGTGGGTCCACTTCAAGCCAGGGGGTGCAGCAGCCCCCCAGCACCCCTAGTGCCAGCCCCTCTGCCCCAAGTGTTCAGAAATCGAGTCAGGCTCCACAAATCCGGAGTTTGGCTTAAATACCAGAGTTTTGTGGTGATTCTATTGGCGGTTCCAGCAGAGCCCCGTGTATCCGATCTTAGCTGGGATCTGGAGCGAGATCAGATCATCAGAAATCGGGATAACCCGGAGAATGGGGAAATGCCACAGGGCCAGCTAGCGGCCACGGGAGAGAGCTCCCGCTTCTGACCCTGGCGTCCTGGGTGTCCGGTTAATGCAGAGAGTTGCTAACAGTGGGTTGGATAAACGGGGTTCTGCTGTTTTTTTATTTGCCTCTGGTTGTGCCTTTAGGGGTCAAATTTCCAGGCTTTTCTCTGCCGATAAGACGGCTAGAATTTACTGCTGTAAGGAAGAGCTGAGACTCCCTCTAATCCCATGAGTCCAGGCGCTGGGGCTGTGACCCCCTAGCAGCCCCGACTGTCCCGCTCTGTGTCCCGCCCCCATATTCCAACCTGGCCCCACGGGTGGGGTGCTGTGGCGAACGCTGCTGGCTGTTCTGGCTCCATAGCAGCCCCTGCTGGGCTAAAGGTGTAACTGCAGCGCCTCTCCAGCTGAATGTATCTTCTGCAGAGGAAAAAAATCTGCAGGGGGGACATGAATTCTGCGTGTGCAGTGGCAGAGAATTCCCCCAGGAGCAGTGTGTGCAGAGGGGGCTGGGGCTGGTGGGACAGTGTGTTTGTGTGTGTGTGGTGGGGGGGATTGGTCCTGCTTTGAGCAGGGAGTTGGACTAGATGACCTCCTGACGGTCCCTTCCAACACTGATACTCTATGATTCAGAGGCAGTTCCGGCCTCGACCCTTCGACCCCTACTTACTGCCATCTGGAGAGGAGGGAGGGGACCCAAAGTGAGTGGTGGGGGGAGGGATCCCACGGGTGAGCTCCACCCCCATCTCCAGCCCAGCTGCTCTC